GAATTTATCTGTTGAATTTTCACTTGAATATTTGAATGCGTATAAAATAAAAACAGGATCTCATCTGAACTTCCACATTGTCACAATCAGTTAGTTTCCACTTCTTACGATTTTTTTCTTCACAGTCTTTGTCAGATCTTTCTTTCTCTTCTCACTGCCTCTAATCTAATCCTGAATCTATTCCTATAATTTTTGAGTCCTTGCAATAGCATTCCAGAAGAAAAGTCTGGTCCTTGCATGCTTTCATTTCTCTGATTATGATTATCTAATTAATATTTCTAAAATATAAATTGTATCACATTATGTCACTGTTCAGAACCATCAGTAGCTTTCCTTAGCTCAGTGTGAGCTCCATGAAGATAGGGATTTTATTCATCTTACGTATTATTATAACCTCAGTTATAGGTGCTTGTCTGGTAAATATGAGGTTTTCAGTAATTTGTTGAATGAATAATAAAAAAGCCACTCTAAATGTAGCCTGAATTCAATATTTTTCACAATTTGACACCAATCTACTTTTTTAAACTTTTCTTTACTCTTTTCTGTGAATCCCAAGTTCCAGATAGGTTAAACTGCTTATTTCTGCCTTCTAAATCTTGTTCTACTTAAAATTCTAAAGTCTGATTTCCTTCCTTAATCCCATCTGAAAACTGCAGCATGTATATATTTTCCACTCATTGAAGACTTTCACTCTTTCACCCTGCCAGGCACTTTGCTGTGTGTTTTCCGTAGGTTACTGTTCCCCTTTCACAACCACTCTGTGAGGTAGGTATCATGTTCTCCTATTTTACAACTAAACGGTGGTTTCGAGAAGTGAAGTCGCATAGCAGTTAAATGGCAGAGCTGAGATTTGAGGCTTGAGTGGTCCAACCCCAGAGCCTAGCCTCCCCATTCCCAGGGCTTTCACAGTCCCGACATTCTCCTCCGAACTCTTGGCATGTGTGGTCTGTATTGCTTATTTGGCGCCATTCCTGTTTCCTTGTGGGATTGTTTAATGTGTCATGTGCGTTAACCTTATCTCCCAAGTGCAGAGACCTTCCCTCTCACCCTCACCATTCATAGAGCCGAATAGGGATGTGAGCAATAATTACTGAAGTGTCATTATCACCTCATGGGAATTTCTTTTGGATCAGAACGCACACGATGGGCCTGGTGAACGGACAGCTGAATAGGCATTACCTGTTCAGAGCTTTATACTCACATGAGCATTAAATCCACTTAGGAAAAAAAATATTTTCAGAACTGCAGTAGATATAAAATAAGAACACCTATTTATGTAAATAATAAAAATAAATGTCAGGCATGCCCTGTTCCTACTCATTTAAGTCATTTTAATGATACATGAAATATAAAAGGAGATTTTGTTAAAGGTCTCTAAGGAGAAAAGGGTAACACCACTTTATAAAGAAACACGATCATGCTGGGGCAAACTTGAAAGGAGGTGGCATTTATACAAAATGCAATTTACTTTGACAGTAATTTTCTGAATTTCCCTGGTTATTATTGAAGATACATGTGTGTTTGAGAAAGAACGCTCCCTCTTCCCTCTCGAGCCAGCTGCTCTGTTGGATCCTGCAGTGAAGTCACCATCCTGCGTTAATGGCTTCACAGTTTGTTCCCAGAGGAAAAAAAGTTATTGTGATGTCACAAATTAGTCATTTTGACTTCACCGCAGGGTCAGGTAGGGGGAGAAAATAGGTTGTAAAGGATAAAATCTTTCAGGCAGAAACTTTTTTTTCCCTCCTTGTAACAAGAAATAGGTGGTGTTAGGACGAGCACTTAAAATCAAGTAGAGGAAAGGGGACATGACTGTAAAGGTTCACAGGTATCACGTTAGAAATGAGCCACCTGAAATTCTCTTACTCTTAATGATGCCAGGATAATGTTTTCCCTCTACATCCAGGCCGCTCTTTCCCTTCACTTTTCTCTATACGCCATCAAGTTTCTGGTTTCAAAGTGGAGACTTTCCTGGAATTGCAGTTTTTTTCAACCTCAAATTCTTTGAGGAATCACAACAGTATACTCTCTCTTTGCATCACTACCAAAGAGCTACATTGTCCCAGCATTTTCAAATTAATGCATGTGAACTTCAGTTTAAGATAGCAGGCTTGAGGCGATTCTATTCTTTTTTCTTTCTCAAATCCATCAAAATGACTAGAAATTTTTAAAAAGAGAAAAAGAACTTTTAGGTAAAATGAAACAAAGAAATGGCTAAAATTTCAAACTACAAGCTATTCACACACCCACCAAATGATAGAAAGTCTGGGCCTAAACAGGGCAGGATGCTGAGCGCCAACATGTGCCTTCTTGAACATTGATGAATATCGATTTTTTTTCCCCCGAAAGTAAATGTTACAATCCAGAAAGGCATAGCTGATGATTCTCTGATTCAAGATGACAAGATCCAGGGGGTACAGTGGCTGCAGAAGAGCACTGAACCTCCCTGCGGAATGTGTTTAATAGCACAGAATGGCAGGGGAGGTGGCAGCACTGAAGGGGAAACTAAACTGACGCTCACCATTACTATTGACCGCAGCCTAGTGGTCTTCCCAAGCGGAGTGCCGGAGGTGAAGCCGGGAGCGGAGGCAGCCGCGCAGGGACACGGCGTGACAGGGTTTTCTGTGAGTCACAGTGACTACTTGGGCACAGAGGGGAGTCATGCGCTCGGGACAAAGGAAATAACTGATTTGGTGTCAGAGTCTTTGAGACCACAAATTTCCGTCTAGCCTTTGAACTCACCTATCATATTGCTCATTCTCCCCAGTCCTCCTGTACATTATTTTTTAGCAGGTAGACTTGAGTAAAACTTACAAACCAACAAGTAAACCATGAGAAGGAGGGGGAAATGGACATAAGCAAATGGTAGCAAAGTAAACATGTATCGTAAGAATTCTTACCTAAAAACAGACAAGAAGAATTTAAATAAATAACTTCTATTCTCAAAGAGGTAAAAAAATATATTATTACATGATATAATAATATAATATTACATATTACATATAATTTATATAAATTATATTATATTTTATGTATATATTTATTTTATACATATATGTTATATGTATTATATATTATATATGGGCACAAATAAGAGAATCTATATAATAGAAGAAAGTTAAGCAAGCTGTTAGTCCTCAGAAAAGAAATGCAAGGAACAGATAAAACACGATAGATGTGAAGCTATATTATTAGGCAATATAAAATATAATAAAAGTGACTTAAGGCACAAAGATATAATGGGTATAACGGGGGAAAACACAGAATTAAATGGAAAATAACAAAGTTACAAAAATAGTGATAAGTAAGATAATAGAGAATGCAGAAGATACCTAACTCATGCATGTTTAGTGTTCCTGAGGAAGAGACCATGATGCAAAAAGCTTTCAAATGTATATTAAGAAAAAAATCCCTGAAAATAGAGAGGCTTTTATTTACAGCACAAAAAGGTAATTTGTGTCTTTGGAAAAGATAGTACAGAATTATTGATGGCAAACTTGATGAAGTTACTGAATTTCAATATCAAAGAAATAATCATATAAACAACTTGGAAGAAAATAAATTAAAAATCAGACTGTTCTCAAACTTTTAGAAGAGAACACAAGACCAGAAGACAATATATATGCTGTTAAAAGTTTTGAGAAAAAGATGTTGTGGCCCAAGATATTATACCCAGTAGAATTGTCCTTTCAGTGTAAAAGGCAACAGACAGGCTACTACCGTATGCATGGCAGAACTTAGGGAATGGAGAAATTTTTTTGAAAAACTACTGGCTGGATCTTGCCAGACAGAAGATGAATCAAGATGAACTTGAAGAACACAGAAACATGTCAAAAAAAAAAAAGTAAGTTCTGAATCAGCTAAGATATAATCATGACCAATACTCATAGCTGAAGGGCAGAATTTAAATGCTATCAAGTAGACAATGGAGAAAAATGAACAAAAAATATGAAAGGTATAGGAAAGAGGTTGGGGAAATGTCTAAAACCAATTTATTCATCCATCATGAAGAAAAGTCAATATATTGGTGTAAATTTGAAATTTGTAATTAAAAAATATGAGATTATAACCTTTTAAACTTTTTTTCCCATTTTTGTTAAAATAAGCAAGTTAGGAACTAATACTTCTTTCTTGAAGAAACTTACGTAAATTTTAGCATTTTGTTCTTGTTTC